CTGAATGGGAAAAACTGTGCAAGAGGAATTTAAAAATAAAACTTACTGACTTTTCTGACTATAAAAATATCTTCAAGCATGAAATTTGAACAATATAAAAAGCTCTGAAAAGAAAACTCTCTGATGACAATCCTACTATCCAAAAATATTCTGATGTTTATCCTTTTTTGGCTTTTCTTCTCTCTACAAACACATACTATTATTTAAGATATCATATTATACATCTTCTTACTAGCCTGTTTTTTCACTTAGTGATGCATTAGGGAGTATTTTTCATATCAGTGGATATTAACTGCCAGTATAATAATTATTAATGGCTACATATATTTGATCCTACGAAGACTGTGTATTTAGCCAATCCTCTACTATCTGCCATTCAGTTGGTTTCTGGTGTGATTTGGAACGCACAGAAAGGGACCGGTGAGTGAAAGCCAGGGCCTAACATGTACACAGTCCCACCCCAGCCCACGGCCGAAGTAGGAGGAGGAAGCACACATGTTCACTGCAGCTGTCTGAGACCAATTTTGGAAGAGACAGATCTGTAATATGTTTCTGCAGGTAGGGTATCAGAATAAGGAGTATTCTGTGCTGGTTTCGTCCTAAGATGGGGTCTTGGAGGAGCTGCTACGTGGGTAAAGTGTTCCCAGGTCAGTTCCCTCGCATGACAGCTCAGAGCAGTGGCCAGAGCCACGGCATGAACAGTGGCAGTGGCTTAGGTTCACAGACCCCCTCTTCTCAAGCACTGGGGCCAAACCCCTCACTGCACAATTGGCCTGGGTACGAACATCCTAACATTCTATGCTTTCATTCTGGGTCTTGATGAGTTGATACAATAGCTGTCCTAGGCGGGGGATTAAGCTCAGTGGTTCCAGAACCTGCCTTGAAAGCACAAGGTCCTGAGTTTGATCCCTGGTACCAAAAAAAAAAAAAAAAAAGCTGTCCTAGTCTCATCAAAAACTGAGAAAGTGCTAGAATCAATTCAGTGAGTTTCTGTAGATCCAGTGCATCTGTAGAAATATTCTGCTATATAAAAAAATCTGTTGGAATTTCTCAATTAATTCGAGTTATGGGGATACGGCCTGGGCAGGATACACTTAGGTGGGTGAGGCCCTGGGAGCCAAGGAATCATCCACAGCGATGCTCATGGAGACTAGAATACTAGGAAAAAAGTGCAAGCACCTTCACAATGGTAGAAAGGAAACAACTGTGCTCCTTGTCAGCAGAGCTACTATATACAGTTCAAGAGTTCAGGGCCCTATGAAAAAACGGAGAGACTCTAAATGCAAACCATTAGCAGGTCATGAAAATAACGTCGTGGATTAACATAACCCAATAAAATAGAAATGTCAGATTATTTTATGAAGTAAAGGTAATGACCGTTTCATGCAACATACGTATGAGTGTTTGTATGTACTATAATAGGTTTGAGTGTATCTGCAGGTTTGTATGCAGTAGTACCTCAGCTCACAAGTGCTTTTGTTTGCAAACAATTTGGTTCACAAACAGAAGCATTTGGCAAAATTTTATTGTTTTGCAAACTCTGCATCGGGTGACAAACAGGGCCACAGCTATCTTTCCCATACAAACAACAAATGTGGCTACCTTTTCCAAAACTGTAGATCAAATTCAGTTCATGAACCAAGGTACCATTGTATAGCCAAATTATGATAAAAAATCTCTTACTATGAGTCATGGTCAAAAGGGTGGAATCCATCTGGAATGATCATTACTTCATGAAAAGCTAGATATTTAAAAATGAAGGAGTTCTAAAACTATACATTGATCACTGATTCTACAAATAGATATAAAAGATGTCACCCAAATCTTAAGCAGTTCTTTAGGAATTCTTTGCTTGTGGGAATTGTGAAGGTTGAAGGAAAAGTTCCACATTAAATGGCTTAAACAGAATGCATCTTACAGGGAACTCAACCTCAGAAATTACATCTCCATATTGCGACACAACCCTAAAAGCAGCCAAGCAAAGGGCATCCTGCCTCAGCAAACAGGGAGATTAGGACTATTTTAATACACACATTCAATAAATAACTACACATGGGACTATCAAAAATAATAGCATAATCTTAATATAGTAAATGCCAAATCAATAGCGTTCCGCATACTTTCTTTGGTAACTAGTTGACTAATACCCTCCAATATGTTAACTAACTCAGCCAGGGCAATATTTTACTATCCAGCTGTTATTGCTGTGTTACTATCTTACTCAAAAGGCTACACAGGAGTTTATTAGGGTTACTTTTATGGTACAGATGACTAATGGATTGGTAATATCAGAACCTTTCAAATCACCCACATTTGTAATGCAGAATTCTATGGCTTCAACAGAGTATTTAAATCTCTTTCAAAAGATCTGTGCTGATCCAAAGGAAGTACCTGAAAATACCTGTGATCTCATTTTAAATATTCCTGAAATCCACCTTGGTACAGGTGGTGTGCTGGCTAACCCTGATAGCCAACTTGACTGTACTGAGAGAGTCCTACAGAGGTGATGGGTTGTGAGGGTGCCTACCTCCCTAGTGGGAATGCACTGATGAGTTCACGAATAAATGGGCAATCAGGAGATGGGGCCCAGTTGGAGGAAGGTTATGGAGACAGGACCTTGGGGACTATATCTGGTCCCCGGCCCCTTCCTGTCTGGCTCTTTCCCTGCTTCCCAGATGCTGTGAGTTGAACAGCTTTGCTCTGCCACCCTCTCCCCCCGTGATGCTTCTGCCTGGGAGCCAGCTGACCACCAAATGAAACTTTGAGTCCAAAACTTCTCCTCCTTCAAGTTGTGTGCATTAGGCATTTTGTCCCAGCGACAGGAAAGCTGACCGATACAGATGGGAAGTAATTTTTCATGTGGGAAAAAATGAAATGCTCTTGTGTTGCCATTTAAAAACAAAAAAGGACCTCTATGTTAATTACAAATGGACAAGGTAAAGCACTGGGCTCCCCTCTCAATCAGCAACACTGGATTGTTGTATTTCTTGGATTCTTGTATTTCAATTGATTCTTGTATTTCCTGAATTTTCTACTCTAATAGCTTGATGACATAAGAGAGCAAAGCGATCATTTAAGGACATACTACTTGATAATTACTCTCCTTCGCAGTACTGCGTTGGTGTTTGGGAAGGTGCATGCCTGGACCTTCACAGAAATACACTAAGGGATCACTATGCTCTTGATGATGTTAGTTTATACCCTGGCTTCCCACATGGCATTCTGTGCCAATAAAACTGTCCTAAGTATGTATTATGGTGATCCCCTCAGCCTCCTTTTTGAGCATAAATATTTTCTATGTGGGCTCTGATGTGAAGAACTTTGAGACTCTCTGGATTACTGATTAAAAGCCATATGAATTACATCTCCTCATCTTCTAAGACCTTCTATTGAAGATCTCAGTCATTAAGTTATTCAATATTCCATAAAATCTGAGTTGATACAAGCCCAAGCGTTCAGCACTGAACAGGACTTTTTTTCTGTTAAGATGGAATATTCTTGGATCACAAATGTGAATTAACTCACTGATTTTCTTTTTGAATTAGTTTCCATGAAGCTCAATCCTAAATTTGGTGCTTAGCTGCATTAGCCAAGATACCTAGTACATCTACAGTCATTCCTGTACTCCACTGGCATTCAGGTCACTTAACACTTCACACAAGGGTTTTGTTATGTCCTTATCATGGAATATAACCTATGATCTTTTTAGAAATAGATTGGATTAAACTAAAACATCTGGGCAAGATGTCGCACACCTGTAATCCCAGCACTTGGGAAGCTGAGGCAGGAGGATTGTTTGTGAGTTCGAGGCCAGCCTGGGGTACACGATGAGTTCAAGGCCAGCCTGCACTACAAAACAAGACTGTCTCACAAAACCAGACCAAACCCCCCAAAAACCCACTAAACATAAAAATTCCATTTGAATCAGGTATTTCTCTTCTAGGTATCTTCTTGAAAGAATTAAAGTCGTCACATTACAAGACCCATGCATACCCATGTTTCTAGCAGCATAACTCATAATAACTAAATCTTAGAAATGGCCTATTTGCCTATCAACAGAGTAATAGGTTTTTAAAAATGTATTTACACACAATGGAGTACTACTCTGCCATAAAGAAGGATAGACTTGAGCCATTGGTAGGTAAATGGATGCACCTCGAGTACATAATGTTAAGTGAAATAAATCAGACACACAGCATAGTTAAATATCATGGTCTTTCTTATATGAGAAATCCAAAATATGAATAAAGAGCAAAACAAAAGATAGGAAGTAGGGAGATCTTTTTCAAGCAGAGAGGGAAGAGAGGGGTAGGGGACATAAAAAATTAAGATGTGTTATGTACGTGTACCACCTCCTCATGATAACTAATCATTATGTACTGCCAACATGGACTAGTAACAAATAAAAAAGATATTCAATTTCACTGATCCTATTTAAAATACTACTAGTGCCAGGCATGGAAGCACATGCCTATAATCCCAGCACTCGGGAGGCTGAGGCAGGAGGATCACCACCAGTTTGAGGCCAATCTGGATTTCATGGTGAATTCAAGGCAGCCTGAACTGCACAGTGAGACCATGCCTCAAAAATAAATAAACAAATATTAATAATAAGTTGTTTTAGTGAAAGCAAGAACTTTGTATTAATAGTAAATAAAATGAAATGGTTAAAAATTAAAAAAAAAAAGAAATAGATTGGAGTAAGATGATAAATGAACAAATGAAAAAAGTTACCCCTATAAGGAAGAGAATAACCTTTCCTAGCTTATTCTTATGAACTGTAACTCAAAAATAGAATATATACACACTAACTTACTAGTCATCACATAAAATTCTATACAGCCTTCTGATGTGAATAACTTTTAAGATGATATGTATCAAACTTCCATTGTTATTCATAAAAAACACTGAATGTTGACAATTTTATGTCATTAAATCTGAAGAGAAGAAAAGGATTTGCTAAAAGGATACAAATATATTAACAAAGAAGTAGTTCTCACCTGAATGACCTCAGCATTCGATAGGACTTTCCTAAATCAGATACTCGTCTGCAAAATGGACCCACAGCCAACTCCATCTGAAAGATTAAAAGATACTTCAAAGCTTTCACACCAGAAACCCATGGAGGATTTGGGACACATTTGTCACCACAAGTTTCAGCTTGCAATAAGCTTAGGCTACCTGGACTGTAAGGCAAGTTCTGAAAGCCAATTATATTTTCCAAAAGGCAAGAAATTAGATAATTTTTATATTTATTTACTAAAGGAAGCTAATATGAGAAAATTTCCTCATAAAAACAGAAAAATAAGCTGGCTGTGGTGGCATATGCCTGTCATCCTCACACTCCAGGAGGCTGAGGCAAGAGGATCACAGTTCAAACCCAGGCGAGGCAATTTAGAAAGGCCCTAAGTCACAAAGTGAAAAAAGGGCTGGGGATGCAGCTTGACAGCAGAGCATCCCTGGGCTCATTCTCCAGTACTGCAAAAAGCAAATAAAAATATTTTTTTGTTAAATAAAAGGAGGAAGTCTAGATCATTTCTCCACTGAAATACTAGGAAAAGTTTTCATGACTGTGTGCCTATCCTTTAAGTAGGTATCTCAAATCTTGTAAATAATGAGAATTTTTATCGTCAGCATGGACCAAGTGCCAGCTCTCTCACTCTTTCTGTAGCACATCTGTGTCAGAATCACAAAAGTACAGTTACCACCAGAGCGGTCCTGAAAAAGTCAGCCAGCCTTTCTCAGGCGCGGCTCTCACATCTGCAGTGTGGAGATGATAATATCTGCCTAACAGAATTATGTAACTGAACGGATGGATTCCATGAAGCTCTACATGCATGGCATGTAAGTGCTTCTTAAATGTCAGCAATTACTATCAGTATTTAGAAATCCTTAAGTTATTAGTAAATTAACCTGATTCCTGACAGAAGAATTTAGCACACTTTTCACTTCTCTTTATTTTCTTTTGCCTGGAAAATTCTGCTTGGCATTAATTGGGCTCTCTGTTCTTTATGAAGTGCACTCAGATGATAAACTGTTTCTCCACTCTTGGTATTAAGTATGCACCTTGGGCGAGAACAGTTTAGAAAATGGCTGAGAATACGCTGCTCTCTGGGAGGGCAGCATATTTATTCAAGAAAAACACAGGAAAGAAGTGAGCTTTCTCTCCTGCTGGCAGCCCCATGAAAAACTGCTCAAAATCTCCTCACCACAGTAGACCATGGAGCCCTAATCAGACATTCATTTGAGAAGCATGTGGGACTGGCTATTAATTGTCAGGTACCAAGTCACACACGGGGACAAGATGATGAATTCGGTTGTCCTGCCTTCAAAGAATGTTAAATTTAGCAAAGAGGAGTATATTCATTCATTCAAACAAGATGATTATTCAACAAAATTGGAAGAAAGGTTATGCATATATGTAAATATATGCATATATAAATATACATTCACATACAAATACCCACACAATGATTATTATTAGGCACAACGCTAAGTGTCAGAATGTATGAACTAAGTGTTGAGCAGAAGTGGGGGGCGACTTCCTTGAGATGCCTTGAAAATGTAGAGTGGCCAGGTTAAGACTTCTTTTACAGGACAAAAGACACAGTATAAACTGTGCATCCAAGAGGGGAATTTTTCATAGTTGAAATACACTAAAATACGTAAGAGTAAGTAAAAAAAAGAAAAATCTAAGGGAAAAAAAGCCAGGATTCTTACCAATAACACAAAGCAGAAGAATAGCTGTGAGCCATTGTTCTCAAACTCAAAAGACAGCAAGCGAGAGAGGGCCTGCTCCTGGGACCTGGTTAGTTTATTCACTTTGTGGGAGCTTCTGGCCTCCTTCAATGCACCACTTACTTTACACTGACTACAAAGAAAGATGTGATCATTGTATATCTTTGATGTGGTATTTCTAATCATATACCTCGTATATATAAAGGTTTTTAAACACTGATTATTTATGAAGTGTTTTGGTCAGTTATTAAAAATTAACTTACTGGGTTCACTGTCTTCAAAGAGTACACCAAATAGTGTTCTGGCCCAGCACTTGGGCAGGTTAAAACATCTAAATGGCTGGGGAAAAGTTACTGTGAGAGAACATGACCTCATAAGGCTGAGAAATCTATGATGATGTAACAGATTGCTATGCCATAGGACAATTGCAAAGTGCTGAATGTTTTAAAATAAAATTTTCACCCATAAGGGACCTGCCAGGTTTTGAAAATCATTTTTTTCCTGCAGAATTCCATCGAACAATAAAGGCCATGTTTTAAAGAGCAGGAGTGTTCCTTTTAGAAGAGGTGACACTGCTTAGCTGTGGCTTCAGAAACGGCCTGTGCAATGGGCTCTCTCCAGCCCCCTTGCATGGAGGCAAGGGTGAGAGGTCAGCTGCAGGCAAGTGAGCTGTTACCACCGCAGACGTGTGGCTCACCACCCAGCACCTCTGGATACCCCCACAGCACTCCTGCCCTGACACGGTTCAGAAAAGTAAGCAAGAGGAATTAGAACACATGTAAGAATTCTGAATCTCTTGTTTTCTACATGCATATTTTCTGGACAAAGTGAAAGCGATATAAATGTACACTTAAAGGGCACTAGAAGACTTCTAAGTAGAAAGTGCTGGAAGTGCCACTGAACAATTTAATGTCAACTTCACTAGCCCTCCTCTCCCTTGGGAAGGTAAGGAAACTTCGGATGGAAGGGATGTGGGCTCCAGAGGGCACCGTGGGCAAATCTCCAGAGAGATTCAGACTCACAGAGCCCCAGGGGCCTTGGATAAGTGCAGCGCTGTCAGAACTGCTGCCGGATGAGGGTAGACATGGAGGCCATGTGGCCACAGCGGGGAGTTAATTACCTGTAGGAAGCCACCTTGAGCCTGTGACCTGGATTCCTGAGGGGTGGGGGTCAGTACTTCCCTCACTGTGGCCCTCCAGATTGCACCCTGCAACTACTTTCTCTCTGCACTGTGGCCAGTGAGGAGCAGTCAGGATTCTTTTAAAAAAAAAAAAACTCTTAAAACCAAACTCTTAAAATAGATTATAATCTGTCTATGTGATTAGACTTTATGCCAAATAACCTGCATTCCCGAACCTACTTGACTGGTCCCTTATTGAGCTTTCTCTTTCTGTGATTTATGCCAGAATAGCTGGCTCTTTATTACAAGAACTCTTTCAAACCCTCAGTGCATTTATTTGTGTGTTCTTGGTTCCAGTGACCTCAGCGGCTTTGTTTAAATTTGAATACAAATTGATATAACTTTCAATAATGAGGGAGTTAAAAGGCTTTCTAGTTCACAGTTGGTGCCTGTCATGAATATAAATGTCAGGGTAAAGCTACTTATTTAAGTGTTTTGACTAACCCTGAAAAAACACTTCCAACCAAGCATAAGTCTGAAAGCTGAGGTACAACAACACAGAACTGTATTTGCAGGCAAGAAACTAAACCCAGTGAAATACAAACTTCACATTCAAAATTTAATTTTTTGGCAGTACTGGGGATTGAACCCAGTGGCACTCCTCATCTACATCCTCAGACTTTTTTCTTTTCTAGTTTTTTTGTTTTGTTTTGTTTTGTTTTTTGTTTTGAGACAGGTTTTGGGAGGTTGCCCAGATTGGCCTCAAATTTATGATTTTCCTGTCTCATCCTCCTGAGTAGCTGAGGTTACAGGTGAGTCCCACCCTGCCTGGCTCAAACTTTAACTTCAAAAATGGAGGCAGGGACCTTGACATCATAGCTGGACCATATCTGCCAAAGTCACAGATATTAACTGCGATGGTGCATCTGTCTCTCCTGTGCCCATGGCTCACAGGGCCAGAGCTGCACTCACCATGAGTGGTGGGATGCTCTGAAACTGGGACTCCCTGTGCAGGCATGGACCAGGCATCTGCCTCTCCATCACTACAGGCTCCAGACAAATGCCACTGTGGCGCCGGAAGGAACACTCTTAATACTAAGTAAATGCTGTGTGTGCAAATGCCTTTTCTATATTTCAGGAAAAAAGCAGACACCCTCAACCTTAAGTCAGGAATAATCACTGCCGAGTTTCATTTATCTTAAGGGAAGGAACTCAGAAAAATTTGGCAATAAAATTATCAATAAGGGTAATCTGTCTTAAGAAAAAAGGACTGCAAATCAAATTCTCAACACTGCAGCTTGTGGAAGATGCTCCCCTGCCACTGAGGTCAGGTCCTCTGAGCAGGGTGTGTGAGTAGCAAGGGCTAAAGGACAATGCCTCTCCTCTCTCAAGCCTCACAGGCAACATATCATTAAGATGAAGCCTCCGCGCGCCAAGCGTGGCAGCTTGGCCAGCTCCTGCCTGGCCGCTGTTCTGATTGGATATGAAATGCTGCCTCCAGGAAGGTGACTCAAGAACCAGCTGGAGCAGAACACAAACAAGCTGGGGAGGGGTGGATGGGGACGGAACAGCATGGAGGAGGAAGGGGAGAAGAACAGAGGCTAGGCTGAGTAAGGCTCACAGTGTTTTCAACAATTAAAAGCAGGTCCTAGAACATCACTGTGTGTTCATTTCAATAAGCAGCCTATAATCCAGTAAGAGAGAAGACTCTGTGTATAATTCTGAGTTTACTTGTAAAAAAAAGCAAAAGGTACAGATGCCTAACAATAAAGGTGACAAAAACAGGTAAGAAAAAAGAGAGCCATAATAACGGGAACAATTTAATTTTCTGTTTTCCTGTGTGGCTGCTAAAGGCATATCTCCCAAATGGAAGGCTCTGGTTTTGGTGTGGTCTAGTGGCCTCATCCATATCATTTGGTTCCAGTTATAGGCAAAGAGCCTCACTCTTGAAACCTCTGACCGGTCCTTCTTCTAAGTATATCAGGTCCCAGGGAGCATCTGACAGCCATCACCTGGGCAGGGCAGGAGCTGTCAGCACAGGTCCTTAGCTCTGTGCAGGAACATGAACCAAGATACTCTCCGATGCATTCAGGAATAAATACTGACATTAACATTTATCTTTTATCTTAAGCAAGGAAAATCTGGCAAACTACTATGGAAACTCCATTTGAATAACTATTTAGGCTAGTAAAGCTAACAAGTTTGAAAGGCTTAAAAAATGATTTCACCCTTGACATGCTATATAAGAATCATCCTTGTGTCTGAATTCTTTCATGAAAGTGGGTATTTGGGGTGTTTCTTCTTTGGCTCTGATACCACTGGAAGGTTTTAAAAATCTGTTCTAAAGTAAAAGTAAAACAAGCCTTTCTGTAAGAGCTGATTATGGTTCTGCTATTTTAATTTCATTCTCTCTCAGAAACATCACAAAGCTTGGAATGATTTCACAGCTGGCCACAGACAAATATATTCTACTTACAAGCGGGAGACCAAATAATGAGACTCTGTATCTAGCTGGTTCCCTGTACATCTCAGAATTGGAACTCATCCCTGGAATGCTGAGCTGGCCTCTGTGGGATTACAGATTCTCTGAAGTCCTCTCTTCACAAGACAACAGGTAGCCCCTTTCCACTGGTTCAAAGGTTACTTCATTGCCTATGTCATCTTCCAGCAAGGTCAGATCAGTTAGTCTCATCAATACTGACCTCTTGGGATGATAAAATAGTTGAGAAAGGCCCATTTTATGTAAAAACAGGAAATGTTTATCTATTGTGTAAGGAGCTACTTTACCTTAACCTTGAAAGATCAGAGATGAGGGATGATTATTTTGTTAAACACAAGAGATAAAATACTTGCTACAAAAGTATCTTTAAGCTGGGTGTGGTGATGCACGTCTGTAATCCTAGCTCTCAAGTTTGAGCCCAGCCTGGGGAACATAGCAAGACCCTGTTTCAAAATGTTAAAAAGACTGGAGATGTAGCTCAGTGCTAAGGCCCTGGGTTTAATCCCAGTATAGCACCAACAAAACAAAACTCAACTCTTCATTCATTCATCCACTCATTTGTTCACTCATTTATTATAGTGCTGGGAATCAAAATTTTTCTCTCCTTTTTAAAATTTAACAAATTAATTTTAAGTGAGTTTACTTTATGTAATAGCTCTTTTAAAAAGCCTGATGAGCAGACAGCCTTTTACTGAGGCAGAAGCATCTGCTCCCTTGGTAGCTGTGCACCCACTTACCTGTGCAAAATCAGCAGCGAGTCGCATTTTCCCACCTTCACCAAGAGGTCTTATGAGACTGGCATTGCGGATAAAGAGTTCAATTGCTCTTTGGGCAATAGCTTCAGTGTTGTCAAAGACAAAATCCAAGCATTCAAACTGTTTAAAGTAGTCATTCATAACTCTGGCAATGAAACCTTGTAGCTCCTTCATGTACAAAGAACAAGGAATATCCAGCTTTCCTGAGCTGGATAATGACCTGTAAATTTTAAAAGAAGACAATAACCATCTTCAGCACTAGTGCAATAAAGTGCACTGATTTTCCCTCTCTGGTTGCTATTTCAATCCTTCGTAACTTTTTCCCTTCGTGAAATGAAAGGCACCATTTATTTTTTCCTAAGTGTTAAAGAGCATAAAACAATGGTAATTATATTCTAAAGGCTGTGCTTCGGTATCGGGAGGATTACTGAAGGAATTTTAGAATCCATTTACCAAAAAGATTATTAAGAATGAAACAATCAGCTATCTGTCTTGGATGAATCCCACAAGGGCCAACCTCATTCTCTGGCCTCTCAACGTCCCTCCCAGCCTCACAGCTCTCTGCACACTCCCATGTTTTGCCTGGGAAGCCAATGCCTCAATAATGGAACCCGAAATAGCATTTTACACTTTGCAATGGCAGAAAATGCTGTCCTCTCCAAACAAATCCTTGGCAAAAATATCTCTGTTCTTGTGCTATTTAATCAGATCAGGCCAACAGCAGAATTCTGACTGTGGAACTGGTTATGCAACAGTGGTTTGCATTTTTTCCTCCAGATGATGAGCTCTGGAAGGGCTTTAATTTGGATCAACAGATGATGCCAGCTGATGCTCCATGATATACTATTTATGACTTATAAATGTTTACAATTGCCCTTTAAAGACTATATTAAAAGAATATGAAATATTTATATGAAAGAAGAGTTAACCCAAATTAGAAATCACCTGATACTGGCTAACAGATGAGATCACTGGCTATATAATGCTGAATCTTTTCCAAAAAGCAATTTAAGTGTTTCCATATTCTGAGAACAATGCGGACGAACTGGGGAGGGTCTAGTGATGGACAACAGACATGACCAAAATTCCTAGAACAAAAGAATGAGGTGAACTCGATGACCATCAAATGCAGCAACAGTTATCACAGACAGAATGTTAGCCAGAGGTCCCCATTTCTAGAACAGAAAGAAATGCAGAAAGGAGGCTTTTGTCTCAGCAGAAAGGGATTTTGTCCAGATATAAAAAACACTGTCTTACTAGTGGCAAGGTCACTGAGGGGTGCATGGGGGAACATTCCTGTGTGTGGCGTCACCACAGGATGGAGCGCTTCTGGAGCAGAGGGGAGCCTTGGCCAGGCTGGGAGGAATCGGCCTTGCCAGATTCAGTCCGCCACATGGTCTACCTTTATTGAGACTTTATCAGTACAAAGGGCTACATGCCAAAAAAATAAATAAAAGCATAACAATCTCTTTTATTTTTTTTACTAAATTTGACTAGTTACAGTAAGTACAGTACACAGCGATGTTGTATGTATATGGTGTGGAATGATAAAACATCACCACCTTAGATATGTATTTATTCCTCTCGTCTAACTGCAACTTTGTACCATCTGACTAACATCACCCCGTTACACCTCATCCCAAGCCCCAGTCATCACCATTCTAATTTCTGCTTTTATGAATTCCATTGTTTTAGATTTCACAAACAGTGTGACAACATTGGTATTTGTTTTGCTGTGTTTGCTTTACTTTATTTAGTATAATGTCCTTCAGATTCATCCATGTTGTAGCAATTCACGGGAATTCCTTTTTTGAAAGCTAAATAGTATTCCACTTCATACATACACATTTTCTTTATCAGCTGGCAGACACCTGTTGATTCCTTAACTTGGCTATTGTAAACATGGTAGTGCAGCTCTCTTTGACTTACTGACTTCAAGTCTGTAGAATATAGACTCAGAAGCTGGGATTACTATATCATATGTTAATTCTGTTTTTAAGTTTTTTGAGGAAGTCCCATATAGTTGTTCATAATGGCTGTATGAAGGTACATTCCTATGAACAGCAAATGAGAGCTATTTTCTCTACATCCTTATCAACATTTCTGATCTGTCTTCCTTTTAATAATAGGCCTTCTGACAGGTGTCGAGTCATAGCTCCTTGTGGTTTTAATTTGTATTTTTTGAGTTCTTTACAGATTTTGGATTTTAATCCCTTCGAGTCAAATTAGAAAAATCACTGCCAATACCAATGTTATATTATAGCTTTTCTCTTATGTTTTCTTCTAGTATTTCTTATAGCTTCAGATTTTACATTTAAGTCTTAAATCCATTTTGGTCATATATGGTGTAAGATGAGGATCCAATTTCTTCTTCAGCACACTGATATCTGGTCTTCCCCAAACCCTTTATTGAAGAGAATGTCTGTGTCTCATTATGTGTTCTTGGCACCTTTGTAAAATGCAAAAGATTTATATAATCTAAAGAGAAACAAAAGGTTATTGGAACTTTTGTCAAAAATCAATTGACCCTAAATATGGGCTCTCTGTTCTGTCTCACTGGTTGATATGCTTATTTTTTATGCCAGTATCATGCTATCTCAATTACTATAGCTCTGAAATACAGTTTGGAATCAGAAAGTGTGATGCCTTCATTTTTGTTCTTTTAATTTCCCTTGCTGAAGATTGTCATAGCTATTCAGGGCTTTATGAGGTTCAAATGAATTTTAAGATTTGTTTTTTGTTTCTGTGAGAAATGCCTTTGGAATTCTGATATGGATTATACTGACTCTGTAGATCACTTTGGTAATGGGGACATACTTTAACAATATTAATCCATCTAGCACATAAATACAGACTATCTTTCTATTTGTGTCTTCTTCAATTTATTTCATCAGCATTCCTTAGTGTACAGTTTTTCAGTGTACAGTTAATCTACAGTTTTCAGTATACAGTTCTTTCAATGCCTTTTTTTTTTTTTTTTTTTACTAGGGATCA